AATAAAATCAACAATAAGAGTCTTTCACCCATTTTCCACCAATATGTGTGGAATGTGCCAAGCTTCAGTCGAAAAATAAAGAAAATCGGATTAAAAACCACAATTAAAGTCTTTCACCCATTTTCCACCAATATGTGTGGAATTCGTCAAACTTTAGTAAAAGAAAAAAGAATCTACAACTCTTCTAAATTAAGTTTAGCTATAGATTAAATTTCTATTTAAATCGCAAAGCCAAGTCTAGGCTTCAATTAAAAATCAAGGCAAAACGCATTTAAACTCCATGAGATAATCAATATGCCCCCGAAAAAGTGTTGCAACATATTGTAAGGGAAAAATGATGACCGCCCATTTTGGGCTAATTACATGGCCAAGTTGCATTTGACTCGCGTTTGCCTGCAACTGCAGCAAATGGTTGCAACTTCAAAGCGCCTGCCACGCCACGCCAAAAGCCGCAAAAAAACCAAAACAAAAACGGCAAAAAGCGAGAAAAAAAATTTTTTAGTTGCAATTTGATTTTACGAGCGCTTTCTGCTTCTTTCTCCGTTTGAATTTAATTATGTGCGAATTTCGCGGTAATTTCAGCCACAGCCCGAGGCTGCCTCTGGATGAAAATGAAATAAAAACATTCAAACTGAACGCAAACAAAGTGGCTGCAACAATTTGCATGCGGCTTGTGGCATGTGGCATGTGGGCTGCTTAACTAGACTTGGGAGTGCGCGGCAAGGCGAGGCAAGGAAGACGGGACTAGAAGCAAGGATTTTGAAAAGGCTTTTCATTCATTATGAATTTTGAATATATCAATCTACATATTAAACCCTTAGCAACAGACGGACGGACATGGATATATATCAACTGGGCTATTGATATATATTCTGTATAAGGTCGGAGCTATCTACTTCTATGCCTAATACAGTTTATGACAAACTTCAAATACCCTCTACTAGGGCATAAAAACAAAGTGTGACCTGTTCTGACTGTTGCATAGATTCGCACAAAACTAAGTATTATACGCCTTTTAACCATTTTCAAAGGGTTGATCCTTAAACTTTAATGAGACTTGTCTGAAAATTGGTTTGTATGTGTATTATATCATTATATTATGTTATATTAACTGAAAAAGTGCTTAATGCTATTAACTAGCAAATATGCCTTAATGCCTCGAGTAAAGAACAATTCCCAGCATGCCTCAGCCCTAAAGTATGCTATAAGTTTTTGTTTGGCTAGCAACAATATATAACATATAAATATAAATAATTTTGATGAGATAAATATTTTTGTATTTATATTTATATATATAATATAATCTAATATATAGAAATATAAGTATTTTTTATTTATTTTTATATATTATAGAAATTGTTTCGCGTATATTTTAGTCCAATCGCTGTCTACATTCAAAATTTTGTTATGACTGCCCGTTTTAAGATTCCTCCAGTTTTTTTTTTTTGGGGAGGAAAACTGGGCCAATGAACTGCGGCTAGAAGGCGTCTCCTCTCACTCATGCTCTCTCTGTCTCTCTCTCTCTTTCACTCTCTCGCTCGCAATTTGCATTTGTGGACTATGCCCATTCGTGTTGCTGTTGTTGTTGTTGTTCAACCGGAACTATGAGTTCGTAGTGCCCATTACGGCAATTGTAATACGAAGAAAAGAAACGGCAAATGAAAAATGTAAACAGTCCAAATTTATAGCAAGAACAACAATAACAATAACAATGGGAGGTCCTGCTAGCCCACAAAACTCGAGGTGATTGCACTGCCAGCCGTAGGACTCGCCTCTATATAGTCCAAGACCCCCCCCCCCCCCCGACTCCCCCTCTCCCTCAGCAAATTGGCCAGACACGCGATTTGGCGGCTCGACTTGGGGCTAAAAAAAAAAATTGCATTTGCTGTTTTTGTTGCGTGTCAACAAACTGAATTTTAATGAAAATGCATTTTTGAGTTTTTACCCTCGAGTTATTTCTCGTATTTTGTAACTTTTATTAGCTGCGATTGTTGTGCGCTTGCTCTATTGAATTAACCCAGTTTCAGTCTTTGAACCCGGATTCATAATAAACGAACTGAGAGCAGGCAGACGGACGACAAAGCTTGCAAGTGTAAATAAGAAAGGTAACAAGTCTTTTGTGTGCTCAACTTAGTCAGCGCTCGGACAATTATTTGGCCAGTCGTTGAGTACACAAAACAGAAAAAATCTCAGCATAATATTTGTCCATTTTTGTGCACAAAAACAATAAGCCACGGAGAATAACAATGCGGGGCACACAAATAGAGCTAGACGTGGACCAAATAGTTCATAATTGTTTAATGTATGCCATAAGTACTTTTCCGAATGGAAAAACTGTCCTTAAAGCAAAAAAATATGCTCGCAGACAGCCTAGCTGACTTGTCTTTAAGTGTGTCCTGCATGACAGGTCATCGAGAGTGTCCTGCAGGCAGCGATCGTCAATTAAAAGTCTGTATCTCTCAATTTAACTCGAGCTTTCACACACACACTGCTCACGTATGGAACTTTAAGCTTGTGTTGCGACTGTCTTGAAGTATTTGCTGAAAGCTTTCAAAGCTCACCAATACAAGCGCAGTGAAAGCTTTGAAGTTTTATATGAAGCGCATGAGCTCACAGTCTTGTGCTCGTTTAATCAGATTCAGATTCTACCCTCACAAGCCACCTGGAAGGATCCCAAAAAATATATATAGAAACATAATTGTTTCCTAAAAGCTTTTTCTTACTTTCCTGCGCTGTGGTCCATACAAATTAGTGCAATTAACGCGCCGAGAGAAAAAAAAACTCTTGCCACGCCTTTAAAAATACGTCAAAAATTCGCTTTGTTTTATATAAATATTGTTAAATTAATGCATTTGGCTGATTAACAGCGCGGCGACAAAAATAAAACTGAGTCAAATTTATTTTGGTTTGCATTTTAATGTGCTTAATTAATTTGCTGACTTTTTATGGTCTGGCAACGCTTGAAGACAAATTAAAACAAACCCGTTTTGCCGTGCATTTTGAGGTGTATTTTGTTTTTTCTTTTTATACTTTTCGAGTAGTTTTACATAATTAATTTCAATTTCGTTTAACTTTGTCATTGACACGTCGCGACAGAAGAAAACAGAAAGAAAAAAATACCAGCTACAACATATGCCAAGTATATATTTATATAAGTATATATATATATATATGTATGTAAATCTGCAATCATATTTTGTCCACAACTTTCACTTTCCTCAGCTGGAGTTGAAAAATTGTTCGCGATGGATCCGTAAAATATCAAATTGCAGCTTGATTATCAACAGGTGGCAACGCCCAGCAACACCTTAAATATACTCTATTGGAGGTTATGTTCGAACCCTTAAGTGTGTTGGAAAGTGTTGTATCAGTAAATCATCTAGCTACCATTACCAACAAACTCTGAAATATTCTGAATTTAAATTTCACATTTATTTGCTCTTTAAATCAAATTAATTCTCAAAATTGCGTAGGCCTCACAGTCCAACCAACCTGCCCAATTCCTCCTCATGCCTCTCGGATTTTCGCCATAATATCCTAAGTAAATATTTTATGAGGGTTGGCTCTGGGTTGTCTCCCATTAGCGCGTGCGCGTTGCGTGATTTAGTTCGGGGAAACGTTTGCATTTCTCTGTTTTTCATTTATGAAAAATGTTTGCGAGCACTTATTATAATTCTTGGAAATATATTATGGAAAGACAAACACCCACAACATGTTGCTACAGTGAAACCTCCTGTAAAATGGCCACCAAATTTGGCTCTTTCACATGCTTTTATCTCCAGACGCGCGCCGCGGTGTGCTTATCATGTTTATAGATAGTGCTGTTATAGATAAGACTACCCTATTCTTTATTCGGGAACTTTTTTTATTGTAGATCGAACAAACAAGTGTCACTCAAAAGTGGACTTTGGAGCCTTGAACATGTTCTTCCCAAAAATTATGGTAATCTTTAACCGACCTCCAAAGTGAACGCCTTTTCTGGTCATAAATATATTCCTTTTCAAAGCCTTACATATTTTAAATTTTCTTTTTAATTTATGAAAATTTCCTTGATAAAATTTGGACTTTTACTTATCTATAAAAATGCCGAAGTAAAGTTCACATTTTTGCGCCTTTCTTCTCAATTCTCAACCTTCACTCGATTGACTTTTACAACACTGTCTCCTCCTCCTCCTAGGCCTATCCCAAGCTCTCACCTGTTGCGATTATGCAAATTGACAAATTGTGATTCCCCCCCGCCTCTGCCAACAAATATTGATAAGTGTTCATTTGTGTATATTTATTTGCTCATGCGTAAAATATAACTTAATTAATAGGGCAACACAAAGTATTTGTGTGTATATATATATAGATAGGTACAAATGTTTACATAATTTAAAATTAAAATCACATTTCAATTATATTTTTTTTTTTTTTAGTATGTCAACAAACTTACAAAACTAAAACAAGCTGTTTTTATTTGTTGTGTTTTTCTCATTTTCATTTCTGATTTGTCTTTAGGTTAAATTCAAAGCACATTTTGCATAGGAATCAAGCATCAATAAACGAGTAAACGAACGGGCACACTGCCAAAAGTGTTGAAACAGTTGCTGTTTGTTTTTGGCAAGTGTGCCCTATTTTTTTTTCTTTTTTTCATAGCGCGCTCTCTCTCTCTCTGTCCCTCCTCAGCATCGCTACACACATAGTTGTTGTTGTTGTTGTTGTTGTTGTTGTTGTCTAGAGAACGGTCATGGCGATGAACATGAGCAAGACGATGATGAGCCAAGGGCAGATGAACATTAGGCAGGCCACCTCAAACATATTTGCGGTAGTTGCTTCCTCTTGCTCTTTTGATGTGTTGAATATAGATCTCAGGTGGTTGACTGCGTGAGGTGGACAACTGTTGCTGTTCGAATTGTAGTTGTAGCTGTTTTTGTTTTTATTTCTTGCACTTTGTCACACAGTTTATACGCTGTTTGCCTTTTTTCTTCACTGCACAACTATTACTGTTGTTTTGCTGCTGCTGCCGTTGTTGTTGTTGTTGCTGGTTTTTTCTTCTCGAGCACTTTGCTGCGTCTGCTGCCATAACACAACGACGTACGACGTTCACTGTCACACTGAGCGGCTGGCTAACCGCTTGAGTGTCTCTGCCGCTGCGGCTGTCTCTGCTGCTACTGCTGCTGCTGCTGCTTCACTGCCTTTGCTTTGGTTTGCTTCGCATCGCTCTGTTGCGTCCGCCGGTTTGTTTGCCTTGTTTGCCTTGTTATGCCTATGTGCATGTGTGTGTGTGTGTGTGAGTTGGTGTTGGTAACCGTCAATCAGCCTCTCTGCCGTGCGCTCTCTCTCACCACTCACCTCTTTTTACTTTGAGTTGTGTTGATGACTTATTACGCTCCGATCGCTGCTGTTGCTGCTGCTGCTGCCACGCTCTCTCGCCGGCAGCGCTTAATTCTGCTTACCTTTGCAAACGCTTGCGGGGGGGTTGGTTGGGCGCTGACTGGGCGGCCAATTGCGTTTTATTTCATTGACCCCGGGGCAAATGTTGCGTTTGCACTTTGTTGCATTTCGTGTTGACAGGAAAATCTGATAGAACTAATCAAGGCATTCAAATCGCAACGGTTATCAGTGGCAGACTTAACGGTTGAGCTTTGACTTACCTTCTTGCACTGAACTGAAGAGCTTTTCGGCTGGCAGCTGGAGAATCGCTGGGAGAGGCGCTAAAGAGTAGTGCTCCAAAATATAGCAAAACTAAAATATTTATTTTTCCCTTTAAGCTCCTGCGCTTTAAAAACAAAACTAATGAAATTCAGCTTTATATGGCATATATTTCAACGATGTGACAACTTTGTATAGGCATTATTTATAGGTATATTTATTGCGTTGCCTTAGAAACGGAATTCTTTGAAAATCTATATCTAGTTATTTTCATAGGTATCAGCTACTTATTAAGGTCCATTTAAGTCTTAAGTCTTAAGTCTATTTATCCAAAGATTATTCCAAACGCCAAAAATGAAAATAGGAATCCGAATTTAAAAAAAACATAAAATTTTGAAAGTCTAAATGACAATTTACAATTTTGAATAAGTTCTTGAGTCAAGTGATTACTGAAAAAACGTGTTTTCTAACACTGAAAGTAGCCCCTTCAAAAATATCGATACCTTTAAAATCAAAAACTTTTCCACTGAGAGCTAAGCTAATCGCATATCGTGATCAACTTCTGTGGCGACCTTTTACAGAACTGGTCCGAACGTAATGCACTGCGATGTGGCCATATGGAAAATTACAGGCAACCAGTTTTTTTTCACTGAGTTTCTGTCTGTTTCCATTTCCTAAGTAGTTTCCATTAGCAAAGACACAAAGCACCATTCGACCATAAACCTAATCTTATCAGAGCTCTTTACCCACATATATTATACACTTCCAATATGTCTGCATGAGTTGGGGTCTTCAATCAGTTGGGCTACTTGAAAATTGGTTAATTGTGCTAAAAATATGAATGAGCCACCATATAAAAATATAAAAGTAATAAACAGTTTATAGTATAGCAATATCTAACTCAAACGGGGTTTATATTTGTACAACAATAAATTGATTGTCTAGATTAAAAAGTATTTTAAGTACTTCAAGTAGCATATTGAAGAAATTTCTATTCTCTTTTCTTTGCAGGTATGTTGTGATTCATTCACCAGACAGAAATAAATATCTATGTATATGCATTATAAAAATATATATATATATATATATATATGTACGTAAGTAATTACAAGTCTTAAGTCATAGAGGGAAGAATCTGGAGATAGTAAGGAAAAATATTTAAATATATTTATTTAAGAAAGTAATATAATATATATCCAAGAAAGTTAAGATCTAAAAGGTTACACACTTAAGATTACGTTTCAGTGTTGATAAACTTAGGTAAGATATCATTTATAATAGATCAAAGAACCATATTCGGTATACGAACTTTTAAGGCCAGCTTCCTAAGACTTACATTTTCTTTAGACATCCAATTCTTTTTAGTTCTAATAATCCTACTTTTGCCAAGAGACCTTCGTCAGATCCTATTCCAGATAATACTAAAGAGGAATATCCTTGAAGAGGAGACTATTACATATGTCATAATATGATAAAAACCTTTTTATAACCAAATTTTTAGTAGTCCTTCAAATACCTCTAACTAAAGTTAAAATGATTGTAAGATCTTGCATATATTATTATTACTATAACATATTTGTAGGTTTTTTATAATGTATAGAGATATATCTCCAAGTTATTAAAAGTAACGGCACAACTGTCCATTCCATTGTCCAGCTGTCCGAACTTTGTGTACACTTTCCCTTGTTTATGCTTTGCGCTCAATGTAGGTCATGTTCCAGTTCCGTTAGCACAGTGCGAAAGGGAGGGGTGGGAGGGAGAGAGAAGTGGGCTTAAAGATGCGAAGAACACATGCAATTAACATAGTTCATTCAAGTAAAAAGATGATGAGTTGCTAGAAGAAGAAGAAGAAGAAGCAGCAGCGCAGACAAGTGTCCTTAGCGTATCCCGTTTTTGCTCTTTTCCTTTGTCATTTACAATCTCTTCTCTTATCGCTTACGACATTGATTTGTCATAGCCTCTGATTAACTATTTATAACTGTTGTTTGTTTTTATTGCTGCGTGTGGTGAGGTCCTTGCACAAGGACCTTAAAATTGTGCGCCTCGTTGATTATTTATAAATTGGCGTAATTAGCTAGACAGTCAGCGAGCCATCGGCGACGACCCCAGCAAAATTAGGACAACGACAATCGGAGAGCAAAAATCGGCTGCGCTCTCTCACACTCGATTTACAGCGTGTGCAGCGTTCATTTCTGCAAGCCAGCAGCCGCCTCTCTCCCGCTCTCTCTCTCTCTCGCGCGGTGACCATCTTTTGTTGTGATTGCTGCGAGCTCACCACACCATACCCCACCTCACCTCACCTCACCGCGCTGACAGTTAGCAGCAGTGACCCAGCCACATTTGTTTGTATTTGTGTTTATGCTAAGCGTATGCGCAGGCGCCTTTTGCAGCACCAGCGCAGCGGCAGAGCATATCAGGTGGATATACATAAACCTCTTAATGTGCTCTCACTCTATATATTTATGTATGTATACGCATGATAGAGAGCGCACAGTGGCATGGGCTAATTAGAAGGTGTTGAGGGGGGGGGGGGGGGGCTCTGCTTGGTAACGGGCCACCCACACACACACACACACTCATACACGCATATTTCCTGGGCGCTTTAGCTTAATCAATGCGCGCCCACTTAAAGGCAATTGCAACATAAACTCTCTCGCTCTCACGCTCACGTGGCAAAGTTAAGCACAGAAATGAACTTGCAGCGCTGCTGAGAGAGAAAGAGCGCGCGCGCGAGAGAGCGCGTTTGTGTGTTTGTATTTGTGTGTCTGTCTGTTTTTGCTTGCGCTCATCTGCATGACGATGAACGCGCCAAACGGGTAACACACAAAAAAGCTACCCTCAGAGTGCTGCTGCGGCTGTCAATCTACACTTTGGCTTCTTTCTAACCAACAAACAACAATTGCATTTAAATAAGTGGAGCATAAAATAAAAATAAATATAAATATATCTTTATTTTAAATAAAATCCAACAACATAAAATTCGCTAGTTAAACGTATTAAACGGCGCAAAGTCTTATCTCGCGCCCCTGCAGCAGCGTGTACGCGTTTCATGGTGTTTGTGGCAAATGCGGAAGTTGTCGTCGCTGCCATCGTCAGTCTTCGTCGGACGTCGCAAGTGTGCAACGCAGTTGCCTTCCAACAACACAACTAAGCAGCAAAGTGCTAAACCAAAAGTAATTTGTGTTATATAAATAATTTAAAAAAAATATAAATAAAATTAATTAGAGCTGTGCTGTTATATATAAATATCTAATTTTTTGTTGTTTATAATCGCACGCAACGCAATCAAAATTCATAAGCGAACGCCTCAGTTCTATAACTCGACCAGGCGACAAAAGCGTCCGTTGCCAACTCTCACGCGCTCGTTATACGCGCTCGCGCTCGCTCTCTCTCGCGCCCTCTCTTTCCGTCTCTCGGTGTGTGCGTGCCTGTGTGTTGTTGCTGTCATTTTAAAGTGCGTGGCGCTAACCTCCTGCGTAGCCACCTCCTCTCAGCCGCCCACCCCTCCCCCTCCACCTACACACGGTCAACTGCCCTTACAGTTAGTTTCTAGCTGTTTCGCGCCTATTTCGCTTTCGTTTCTGGTCCGTTCGTCGTGTGGACAAACAAAATTTCATTCATGGAAAACAAAAACCATCTAGAAATTGCCTTTAATAACGGAAATATATTTATTAAAAGGTAACTAAATTATTTGTTGTTCGTCGTTTTTTGTGTTTTGAAAATTGTTTCAAATTGAAAAAAGAAAAAACGTTTCTAATTTTACCATAATTATCCATACCTCTACATAACATTCTTATCTCTAATCCTGAATCTTTGCCTTCATTTGGGGGTTAAGGCAAATTGTGCGCCCACTCAAGGCTACGCATGCGCCCCGCGCCCCTTGTTCAGGTTCTGGCCGCGAATGTCAATTTCCGTATTATGTAACCGTTTCTAAGGTCAAAGTAAAAGCGGTTTTAATGAAGGTCGCCCCCCCCAGCTCCCCAGCTAGGAATTTAACCGGAACTCATTAAGCTCCTCGTTATTGTGGTATTTTTTAAGTGGTATCTGCTTACAGCTCAGCTCTATCATTGCATTATTCCAGGTATTCGTAAGCCTATTTATGTGTGGGATAATACAATTAATTAAAATGAAATGCCGCAGGCGAAATGAAATCATGCGGAATGACATTATAATATACCTAGCTAAAAATAGTGTCTATAAAAGATATAACAAAAGTATTTACAAAAAAAGAGTTAATTTTTGAGTGGAACTAGTTCTTTATTAATATTATTCATTTGGTATAGCAGCTATATAAATTAGTATATATGTATATGGTATATCCTATTATGATATATTTCTTTTAAAATTTTAGGGAAGACATGCAATATCAAGTTACCCTCTTATTTCCTTTGAAGTGAACTAGTTTAATTAGTTCTTTGGAACTACTAAGATCTTAAATTTACTCCTCAGCGCTGGATATAATCCAAAGGCCTTTTCTTATAACATAGTTCTATTATTAGCTCATTTTAAGCAAGTTCTTAAGTCAAGTTTTTGTTCCATATGAACAAGTTCTGTTTATCTAAATCATGTGCCTTGAAGTACTTGGCTCTTGAATCTCAATAAATGTCTCATAATGTCTTATATGAGACAGTCCAAATTCTACATATCATATCTATATCTATTCAGTTATCTTTTCACAAAGTTTTTCGCACTCTGAAATCGATTATTTTGCCGCAAGTTCCTTTTGCCCCAAATGCACTGATTCGGCAATTGTAATGCCTATCATTAACATGTTGGCAGAGCCCATAAAAATCAACATAACATATAACCTAACCCAATCCCCTACCCCCACAGAAACTACCCTTAAATATATGTGTATAGAGTGCTTCTCAAGCATGCGATGTTTATCCAAAACACGCCCCGAAATCATGTTTTTTGCCAACTAACAGAAAAATAAACCAGGCACAACTTGAGGCTGCCCACAAAAACAGAAAGAAACAATACTCAATGTCATGTTGTGAGTGTCCTTAAGGTCCGAAATAGCCTTCGTCAATCAATGGGCTTTTGCATAGCTATTTTTCTCTGCCTGATAAATAGTGCGATAAACCCGCCCACCACCTCGCCTGCTCTCCAAATTGCTTTTCCAATAGTTCAGCTTGAACTTGGAAGGGTTTACTACCTTTTACTACCTACAGGTACAACAATTTTTACTCGTATTTACCTGCCTTTTGCCTGTCCATTGATTTTCTCAATTCTATTGATTGTCTCGCGTTCTTCTTGTGCTTCA